TGTATCGATATGGTGGTTATGGTCCCATCAGCGATACTCACGACCCTGGACTGGTGGTTGAAGGACGCGGAGGTGTGCAGAGGGGTCCCATTCCATCAACCCTCCCCCATGGCCCAACTGGTGACAAATGCATCCAACGCAGGCTGGGGAATCCACCTGGCAGATCTCCGAACCCAAGGTATGTGGTCCGAGGCAGAGAGGAACCTGCATATCAATGTCTGGGAACTAAGGGCAGTGCATCTGGCCTGCCAGGCATTTATTCCCCAACTGAGGGGGAAGTGTTTGTCCGTTCTCATGGACAACACGACGGCGATGTACTACATCAGACATCAAGATGGTGCTTGTTCCTCTCCCCTGTGCCAGGAGACAATAGCCCTCTGGGATCTGTGTATTGCACAGGGGACGCATTTGCAGGCCACGTACCTGCTGGACTCTTTCAACACCATGGCAGACCGCCTCAGTCGGATCTTTTCGGATCATGAGTGGTCTCTCAAAGGGGAGGTGGCGTCCTCTCTCTTCCACAGGTGGGGCACTCCCCTGATAGACCTGTTCGCGTCCCATGCCAACAGGAAATGCCCCCAGTTCTTCTTCTACAGGTGTCAGGAGAGGAGTTCCATGGGCAACACCCTGGTGGGGCTTTGGCTGGTGGGCCTCTTATATACCTCTCCCCCTTTCCCCCTGGTCCACGAGGTGATCTTGAGGGTCAGGAGGTATGGGATCATGCTCATTCTCATAGCCCCGGATTGGCCCAGACAACACTTGTACACGACACTGGTGTCGCTGTTGGTGGAGGAGCCCATCCCCCTCCCGATGGTCCTGGACCTCCTAATGCAGGAGCTTGACCATGGTTGGTTGTGCCACATGAACCTGCAGTCCCTACACCTCAAGGCCTGGTGGATCAGTGGGTGTGGGAGGGGGAGCTCCTTTGCTCCACCCCAGTAAGGAGGGTGCTCATGGAAAGCAGGAAACCCTCTACTAGATCCTCCTACCTAGCCAAATGGAAAAGGTTTTCTATCTGGGTCTACCGGAAAGGGCCCTGCTCCCCATTATTTTAGACTACCTCCTCGACCTCCAGAGCCAGGGGTTATCCACCTCATCGATTAGGGTGCACCTGGCGGCCATTGCAGCCTTTCACCAGGGAGAGGGTGGCAGGTCAGTCTTTGTGCATGACATTGTAAAGCGCTTCCTGAAAGGGTTGGACAGGTTATTCCCCCACATCCGGCAGCCTATACCCCAGTGGGATTTGAATTTGGTACTGCGGGGGCCTATGGGCCCATCGTTCAAGCCACTGGCCTCCTGTTCTCTTCCCACCTCTCATAGAAGGTGGCGTTTCTGGTAGCCATTACCTCGGCTAGAAGGGTCTCCAAGCTATGGGCCCTCTCCTTGGAACCACCGTACACGGTGATTTCTAGGGACAAGGTGACGATGCGCCTCCCCACCCAGCTTTCCTCCCTGAGGGTATGTCTACACTACCCTGCTAGTTCGAACTAGCAGGGGTAATGTAGTCATCCGCAGTTGCAAATGAAGCCCGGGATTTGAATTTCTCGGGCTTCATTTTCATGAAGCCGGCTGGCACCATTTTTAAATGCCAGCTAGTTCGAACCCCGTGCCGCGCGGCTAGATGCGGTATGGACTAGCTAGTTCGGATTAGGCTTCTAATCCAAACTAGCTAGTCCGTGCCGGGTGTAGCCGCGCGGCACGGGGTTCGAACTAGCCGGCATTTAAAAATGGCGCCGGCCGGCTTCATGCAAATGAAGCCCGAGAAATTCAAATCCCGGGCTTCATTTGCAACTGCGGATGACTACATTACCCCTGCTAGTTCGAACTAGCGGGGTAGTGTAGACATACCCTAAGGTAGTTTCCCTGTTCCACATGTCCCAAGAGATCTTCCTACCAGTATTTACCCTAAGCCGCATGCAGATGAGAGAGAGAAAGTGCTGCACTTGCTGGATGTTAGGAGGGCTCTCGCCTTTTATTTAGACAGGACGCGGTCATTTGGCAAATCCACTCAACTATTTGTCTCCATAGCAGACAGGATGAAGGGTTCCCCAATATCATCATGGATCATGTCGTGTATCAAGACCTGTTATAACCTTAGAGGGAAGGTAGCTCCACCTCTCACAGCCCACTCGACCAGGGCTCAGGCATCCTCCACAGCCTTCCTGGCCCAGGTGTCAGTCGTGGACATATGTAGGGCAGCCACCTGGTTCTCGGTCCATACTTTCGCCAACCATTATGCCATCACACAGCAGGCTAGTCAGGATGTAGCAGTAGGTCACCAGGAGGTGCTGCAGTCCATTTCGCTCTAGGTTCCGACCCCGCCTCCTTAGGGGTTTGCTTGGAATCACCTAGACGGAATGGACATAAGCAAGCACTCGAAGAAGAAAGACGGCTACTTACCTCATAACTGTTGTTCTTTGGGATGTGTTTCTTATGTCCATTCCAATCCTGCCCACCTCCACCTTCGTCGGAATCTCCGGCAAGAAGGAACTGAGGGGGTGGAGAGCCAGCAGGGGGTTATATGCTAGGATATGCTGGCACCACTCCAAGGGGCTCCCTTGCTGGCCCAACAGGTACTGCTAAGGGCAAAAAAGCTTCAGGAACTTGTGCACGGGGCACGCACACACCTAGATGGAATGAACATAAGCAACCCATCTCAAAGAACAACAGTTACGAGGTAAGTAACTGTCTTTTTTGAATAGAGGACCATCCAGATTTAGAGATCTTCAATTCTTAGCCATGTGTATCCCTAGTCCCTGGAATTCCAACCCAATGTTGAGGCAAAAGGACAACAGATTTAGGCAAACAAGCTGCACATTTATAATGGGGTTTGCAGCTTGATACAGAAAGATGCAGAGAATGTATAAACCTACAGAGAATTCATCAGCTATACATAAACAAATTCCCCAAATTAACACAATAACAAGTATGTTCAGAACTACTGACCACACAGTCAGAAAATCAGGGTTTAGTCAACTACAGATTTATTTGGGCAAATCATTAAATTCTTCTAAGGATACATTTTTATTCAGGGTTACATTTGTTGCCCTTAAACCTCCCTTGAATGCTGATAGTCCTCCAGTGTCTTCCTACAATTCACCACCTGTTCCCAGAAGAACTGCTAAGTTCTCTCACAAATCACTGGGAAAAAAGCCATAGAGCTGCTCAGTTCACTGCAGCACGAGGAACCATGTGATATGTTCCCAGAAGTCCTCCATGAGGAGGGCAGTACTAATAAGGATATAGTAACCCTTCTATGGCCTTGTTGTGTGGCTGCTCATACCTAGGCTAGGGTAGCTGAAGTACCAATCAGTCAAGTTAACTCTGCCATGAAAACTTATGCTATGGCTCAGTTCTCCATCTATATCAGACAAAAAAAGCGATGGGAGAAAGGCCGTGGTGGGTAGACTTCAAGCTTTTTGGGATTTATAATGTTTGTACAATGTCTAGTGCAATGGAGCCTAGATTTGAGTTGGGTTTCTAGGCACTACTGTAGTACAACTAAATAAACCAAGAAAAGCCCGATGTGTCTTCATTAAGGGTTACTGGAAAATGCATCTATGTTGAAGGTGACTGTAGCAAAACACTGCTATATCACATCTGCTGGAAATGGGAAAGGAAACTTAATAAATCAGAGATAATTCGTTTCAGTTGTACATTTACAGTCAGTCATTGAGACAGAGAGCACAATAAAAAATGCAGGGAAAATATTACGGACATTGAGAAGACTGGGGGGGGTATGATAGAGGTATATAAAATCATGAATGGTGTGGAGAAAGTGAATAAGGAAAAGTTATTTACTTGTTCCCATAATATAAGAACTAGAGGCCACCAAAGGAAATTAATGGGCAGCAGGTTTAAAACAAATAAAAGGAAGTTCTTCTTCACACAGTGCATAGTCAACCTGTGGAACTCCTTGCCTGAGGAGGTTGTGAAGGCTAGGAATATAACAGGGTTTAAAAGATAACCAGATAAATTCATGGAGGTTAAGTCCATTAATGGCTATTAGCCAGTATGGGTAAGGAATAGTGTCCCTAGCGTCTGTTTGTCAGAGGGTGGAGATGGATGGCAGGAGAGAAATCGCTTGATCATTACCTGTTCGGTTCACACCCTCTGGGACACCTGGCATTGGCCACTGTTGGCAGACAGGAGACTGGGCTAGATGGACCTTTGGTAAGACCCGGTATGGCCGTTCTTATGTTTTTACTGTGAAACTAAGATCATGAAATTGACGTGGGAGATGATGCACAAAGAATCTTTCTCAAGAAATGGTCGACTTGGGCAGAGGTCCAGTGGAGAAGAGAAGCCCACAGTGAACTTTGTACCTTACACCACATCTTTGAAAATCTGGGTCTCTTTTGAACATAGCTGCACATTTTCCCTGAAAGTTAACAAATTCTGATTCTGTGGCTAACAAAAGCTACTGAGACGTCTTTTTATGGGTGTCCACTTTCATAAATATCCACGTTGAGCTGCCTATAGTTTCAAAGTATCCTCCTAACAGATGCTAATTTAACTCACTAGGCAACAGACTGTGAAATCGGACATGACCGATTGATCACTTGCCATTGATTCACATGTAAACTAATGGAATGTAAAGAAAAAGTAAGAATCACTAGCATGGTAAAGGAAGGCTATTTATTCATTTTACAAAATAAACTTTCAATTTATTAATCAGAACAGCAAGGAGGCATAGCCTTTGTGAATTTGAAGAAAATAATTAGCAGGGACATTATAAAACATTGAAGTACACTCTCAGCCTTGGGACATGGCTTTGTTAGAAGCCACTGACTAAAATTAATTGCACGATATTTCTGGCTAGAGGCACCATTCCATCACCAGCTGATCAAACTTGGCATATATAGTTTGGGCTCAGTGATCCCAGCATTCACAGCAGTCACAGAACTATGAATTGTGTTCAGCGTGCCAAATGTTCCACATCTATGTCTTTGGTCTTCAAAAACAAACAAACAAACAAACAAACAAACAAAAAGAATACCAATTTCAAAGGAAGCTCTTTGGGCTATACCATTCAACAACAGTCTATAATCCATCTGTAATGTTCTAAGATACCAATAACCAAGAAATTTCTCATAAGGTAAGCAGAAGAAAAATGTCGTAACATTTATGTGAAAGTGTGGAGTAGATAGATATGTGTATGTGCTTGAAGTGAAGAGATCTAAATTACAGCATGTAGAAGTACTGCAGAAAGAGTATTGGTAAATTAACATTTCACTTTTTGCATAGAAACTATCCTTCAGAAAAACTGGTAACTTAATTAACAATGAAATTATAAATAGTTGAATAATAGGAGTTACAACAGCAGTCCCTGGTAATACGTCTATCTTTTAAAAGTCTCAGGGGGTAGCTGAGTTAGTCTGTACAGGATAAACTTAAAAAACAACAAATGGTTCGGTAGCACTTTACAGACTAACAAAACATGTAGATAGTATCATGAGCTTTCATGGCCACAGCCCACTTCTTCAGATGACTGGAGTTTTGAGTTTAGGATGTACAGTCCCAAAATAAATAGGGGAGAAGGGAGGGGAAGGGGAGGAGGGAAACAAGGAGCAGAGGGTATGAAAATATCAAAGGGAAAAACAGAACTGGGAATCAGTAAGTAAGAATCAATAGATAGGATGGGAATTTACACAGGAATCTACACAAAGAGCTATTTGCACCTTCATTGGATGTTAGGTTGATAGTGTCCCAACCATCCCTCATCATAATTGAGGCTATTAGCATGAGAATTGAACTTGTGAAAGAATTGTAATTCCAATGCCTCTCTATGTATTTGGCTAGTAGAATTGGTTTGTGACAAGACAGCAACTTGAAGATCTTTTAAGCAGTGATTAGGAAGATTGAAGTGTTCCCCAACAGGTTTCTATTTGTTCCCTTTATGTTTATCTGATTTGTGTCCATTGATTCTTTCTCGTAGGGACTGTCCAAGTCTGTGAGCATATAAACCCATTTGTAATTCAATCTTTGCAAATTGTAACGGACAACACCCTGACACACTTTGAGCCAAAAGGTGATTCGTTTATAGTTATGTAGAAGAATCAAACTAAAGTTTAAATGGAAAACT